ACATTTAGCTTGATTCTGTATTGCGGCTGCTGTGAACAGCGCTCCAATAAACATGACAGAGCAGATGTCTCTGAGACATACTGATTTCATTTCCTTTGGATATATTAATACATCCATTAGAGGCATTGCTGGATTGTACAGGTAATTCTATTTTCAACTTTTTTGAAGAACCTCCATACTGTTTTCCATAATGACTATCCTCATTTACATTCCCACCAACACGGTATCAGAGTTCCTTCCCCTTTCTCCACATTTTCATCAGCATTTGTCATTTTTTGTCTTTCTGATAATTGCCATTCTAACTGTGGCGAGATGATATCTCACTGTGGTTTTGATTTGCATTTCCCTGGTGGTTTGTGACACTGAGCCTTTTTAGTATATCTTTTGGCTCTTTGTATGACTTCTTTGGAGAAATGTCTATTCAGGTCTTTTGCCCATTTTTTTTTGCAAGGACTGTCAGGGGACTTCATCCCCTAGAAGCAGCCGAGAGGGAGCTTAGAAGAAGCAGCTCCCTGTTTCTCCCCAGAAAGGGTTTATGACACACTTTTCCAGTGGCTACTGAGTGGCCTTGCTTCTAATGAACTTGCTTTGGGGAGTTAAAGGGGCAGACAGTGCTAACCCATGGCCAGCCCGAGAAACAGACAGGCACTGCTCAAGCTCTCTCCCCTGCCTTGCCTTAGTGATAAGTAGGTCTATTAATTCCTCCTCAATGGGATTTGATCACATATCAAGTGCCAAAGTTTTACAGCTTCCACTCAAGAAACTGTATCCTAAACCTCTCAGCTCTGGAAGCAGAGAGAACTGGCATGTGTGTTTCTTTAGATCACAGTTAAAAAGTGGCAGTTTCATATGGGGGTGCAACAACATCCAGGCATGGCAGATCCCAGGCATAGTGCAGAGAAGAGGCATAAAAACACAGCACCTATATCTCCCCAGAAGGGGTTCATGCCATGGATCAAGTGCACCAAATTTTATAGCTACCTCCTGAAGGACTCCATCCTGAACCTCTTAGATCTGTGAACAGAAGGGACCACACATATATTAAGCAAACACCAAAAAATAATACAAAGATAAGAAGCTAAAAAGAAAATAGAGGAAACAATATGGAAGACTAAAAATATTCAATTAACACCAAAAGGGCACAAAAAGTAGGAGCAGAGGAATAAAGAACAGATGGGATAAATAGAAAAGAACCCAGCAAGATTATAGTCTTATAATTAAGATGCAAGAACTGAGTCTCAAAGAACTTAATTGGCCAAGGTTGTGGGAACAAGTGGCGGGAACCAAGGTTCATGTGAATTGCACCAGAGCATGATACATTTATGATTCTGGTAGAAGTATTAAAATTTCATGGAATCAAATGAATTAATTTCTTCTCTTGTCCTAAATACTTTTTAAATTGAGAAGAAAAAGACTAACAAATCAATTTAAAATGAACAAAGGAAATAAACAGTTTTCAGAAAAAATGTGACCCTTAAAATCAGAAAAGATACTTAAAGTATTATAATTCATGTAGAGAAATGCTAATTAGAAACTTCATTGAGTTATCATTTTTCACCTATAAGATTGACAGAAATTTAAAAATTAGACACATACTCTGTGCATGAGGCTTGATGGAAACAGGCATTTTCACATCTACTGGTGGGAGTACAAAATGCTACAACCTCTATCCAGGGAAATAACAATAATACTATCAAAATTTTAAATGCATTCAACATTTTTACTAGCAAAGTACAAAATTTCTACTTCTGGGAATCTAGCCCACAAGAAAGAAAGCCAAGAAATGTCACATGTGATATAGTTTGTAACAGCAAAAGATTGAAAACAACCTAACAATGCAGCAATGTGGGCTTATTGAAAGTTAAGGAAATCCCCAAATGATTTTCTCTGCAGCTTTAAAACACATACACCCACACATACACACACATACCCATTAACTCACCAAACAATCCAAGAATTAAATAATTAATAACTTATACCAATCCATGTCCTTCTCACCCATCCAGAATGTTTTCTTCTCTCACTTTCAGAGTTAGCCACTCTCCTGAATTTTCTCATTTTTATGTGCCCCCTTTTGAGCTTTACTACATATGTAAATATGCCTAGATAATGATTCCTTAGTTTTTCTTCGTTTTGAGCTTTATGTCAAGGATATAATTCCAAATATTATCTTTGGGTATTTGTGTTTTTACTCAATATTATTTTAATAATAGTATTATTGTACATGGCTATATTTCAGGTATTTTCACAATTATATAACATTTCCTTGTATTAATATGTCATAACATATTTATCCAGTATCTTATTACTGGTAATAGGAACTGTTCCAGTACTTTGTTGTTCTCTGTTTAACTTTTGTGAACATTGTTGTGCATGTTTCTTGGTAAACATGTGGGCATATTTAACTTAATTATATATTTAGGAATGTGATTGCTGGACCATGGATTGTATGTATGTTCAATTTTACTAGCTGATACCAAACTGTTTTTCAAATAGGCTGCACCAACATAGACTCTTACTAAAGTCTAGTAAGGCTGCACCAATATAGACTCTTACTAGAGTCACAATATAGACTCTTACATAAGAGTTTCTTTTCTACTACAAATCAATAAGAAAATGACAGAGAGCCCAGTTAAAAATAGGCAAGATACTTGAATAGGCACTTCATATAAAAGGATCACCACATGGACAGCGAAAATGTGAAAATGGGCTCCACTTCACCAGTCATTAGGAAAGTGCAAATTCAAATCACAGGGAAATCCCACAAGACACCCACCTGAACGGCTAATGAAGAGGCAGACCATACCAAGTACTGACAAGGTTATGGAGCAACTGGAACTCACACACATTGCTGGTGGTAGTGTAAGTTGGTTCAATGATATTGGCAAGCTATTTGCAATATTTACAATAGCTGAATGTATTTATGCTCTGTGATCTGTGCTTTGTGATCTAGAAATTCCATTCCTAGCTATATGCCCCAAAGAAATGCATACTTATGTTCCCTAAAATATATGTACAAGAATGTTCATAGCAATATTATTTATAATAGCTAAAACCCAGAAATACCCAATGTACATCAATAGTAGAATGAATACATACATTTTAATATTTTTATATAATAAAATGCTATACAGCAATGAAAATGTATGAACTACAGCTGTAGGCTTCAAAATAGATGAACCTCAAAAACATGTTAAGCAAAATAAGACATCTGGGGAAATGATACCTTAAGAAAATAATACCTTAGATTTCACTTACATAAAATTTTTAAATATACAAAATTGAATCTGTAGTTCAGAATACAGACAGAGATGGTATAACTATAAAGGAAAGCAAGGGCTGATTACCATAAAATCCAGGAAAGTGGTTATCTCTGGGGAGGAGGGAGAGTAAAGCAATTGGGGAGGAATATGGGACATAGATACAGTAAATATTAGTAAATACAGCTAGTTACCTAGCGGTTCATTTTAATGCTATTTTGTAAAGAATATAGGCATGTTCTACACACTTTTTTGTTTATAAGGTTTACTGTGCAATGAGTTTTTCTTTTTTAAGATAGCCAACAGGCTTTAACATTCTGATATTTCTATCTCCCTTAAAGTTTCAGGCTTGGTGGCCATGGGGGTCTGAGTCTTAAGAGACAAAGGGTGGGATTTAGCCAATGGGTTGCTGTCTAACAGTTAGTTTGCCTTACCCCCACCTCAGCTCGGCTACTTTCAGACCTCAGGTTCAACCCCTGACAACGCCCAGCATCTGGGTATTCATTTCTATTGTCCGGAACTTTTGGTAGCAATGACAGAATGCTAAGCCAGACTTCCTCAAGCAGAGAACCAGTTTATTGGCTTCTGACCCACCTGCGGGAAGGGTGTGGGAATTATCACCGTCAAGGTGAAGGAGTGGAAAAGGCTGCTGTGCTCTCAGGATCTCTTGTTATCATCTTTTCTCTGCTTTTATCAGTTTATTAGGTTTGTTCTTCTCAGACAATTGATCTCCACCCCTAGATTGCAACCATAGCTCCTGGAATTCCTTAGTTTATATAAAGGTCCCACCTTTACCAAAAGCAGGGACTTCCTTCTTCCCCTTAGTGCCCATTCAAATAAAAGACTTCAGTAGACCAGACGAGAGTCACACACACACACACACACACACACACACACACACACACACCTGTGGCCGGGGGTCAGGCATTCATGATTAGCAGTCCCCATTAGACTCACAACTTGATGGTACAAAGAGACAACAATTCAGAAGAAACAAGGTGCCGTTCGAAGAAAGGGGAAGGCATGCTGGACTGTCCACTGTAGGTATCTTCCTTACAGATGACTTGTGCCTCCTTCCCTTTACTCATCTGAATGTTTTCTCCCTGCCCACTGTGACTTCAAAGGCATCATCCCCTTTCACACCTAGAATTCCCTTCCAATTACTTTCTTGGTACTCTTCCAACCCCACCTATGAAATGGCAAAGCGCTATAATTAGTCATTAGACGTTCAAGGCAAAATCTCCTGGCATAGCTTTTCTCAGGGAAGAATGAAGGAAGATTCCAGTTTGGTGCTGGGGGAGGTGAAATGATAGGGTAGGTCTGGGTGGGGTTTTTAGGAGCAGAGCATAATGGGGTTTTGAAATCAAGACTGGATCTACCAGTAACTTGATGATTAACCTTAGGTGATTCCTTTACCTTCTGGGGCCTCATAGTCTTTCAAAATATGAAGAATTTGGTTGCAATGGTGCGCAAGGGCCAGCCAGCTCTGCTTCTGCATGAGAAAGTGAAGCAGCACTTACAGCTGTCCGGGGTGATGTGACATATTATCTGTCACATTTCCCTGTGAATAATCCTTGGGGAAAGCCCCAAGGTCCCTCCCAAGATGAAGGTGGATATTTCCTGATAGAGCTAAGGAAATATCTGCTCCATTGTAAAACCATAGCCCCACCCCTGGTGCCAGGCCAAGCCGGCGCTACATAAAGCCGGGCTTGGCCTCAGCTCTTAGCCACACACCTTCCCGACAAGATGAAGACCAGCAGCCTCTTGGTCCTGGCGGTGTTCCTCATCCTTGGGCTGCTGGCAGTAGAGGCAGCTGTCAAAGGAGGTGAGTAGACAGGTGATCTGATGGGACTGGGTTGGGTTGAGGAGAGGCTCTTCATGGGGCCCCTGGGTCTGGACGGGGAGCATTTCTGGAGCAGTAAGCAGAACTGGAGCCCACGCCTCAGCTTTCTGGCTATTGCCATTGTATCCAGAGAAAGTAAGAAGTTGGCCAGCAGACGCCACGTGCTTTCCACCCAGTGATTGAGATATCAGGACTGTTTGCAGAAGAAGCGTTGTTAAGTGGCCTTGGCCTCGGGTGTTGATGCTTGTGCAGAATGTACAACAAAGTGAGGTGGCCCCGGGCTTCCGAGCCCTGGGTGTGGACTCTGTCCCCTGCTTTTCCACTTCATTAAAGCACTTGAATAATTAGCCTTCTAAGACTGCGGTCCCCAACCCCCAGCCACAGACCGGTACTGGTTTACAGCCTGTTAGGAACTGGGCCCATCACTGGCTGAGCTCCGCACGCCCCCATCTGTGCAAAAGTGTGTTCCGTGAAACTTAGGAACTAGGCCACACAGCAGGAGGTGAGCGGAGGGTGAGGGAGCAAAGCTTCGAAGCTTCATCTGTATTTACAGCTGCTCCCCATCACCTGCATCACCGCCTGAGCTCCACCTCCCCCCCAGGTGCCCCCATCCATGGAAAAATTATCTTCCATGAAACCAGTCCCTGCTGCCAAAAAGGTTGGGGACCACTGATCTAACAGGAGGTTAAGAAACAACAGGATGTCAGAAATCATGCTGTCTGAGGACCCCTATTTTACAAAAGGAGGAAACTGAAACGTGGAGGGAAGTGAGGCGTTGTCAAGGCACTTCCCAGCGACAGAAGGGAGCTCAGGTCTCCTGGCATGTGGCTCATGGCTCTTTCCCTCTCCACTAAATTTCCTCAGAAATGACAAGGTGTCCTTCTCACTGCTGGGTGTCACCCCAGTCTGGACTCTGCTCCTGAGAGACTTAGAGTGGAGGGAGGGGGAAAAACACTCGAGGGAACTCTGGTCCTGAAGACCCTTTCCCCAGAGAAAAGGGAAGTGACTTCTAAGAGTGCAGCCACACCAACTACCCGGGCGCACCTCAGGTAGTGGGTTGGGGGCTGCTGCAGTGGGCAGTGGCTAGACCTGGGGAAAGACACGGTATTTGAAGCACCTGGGTCTTGATGTGGGCCCATTTCTTCTTTTCACAGTTCCCGTTGATGGTCAAGGCACTGGCAAAGGTCACGTTCCATTCAAAGGACAAGATCCCCTCAAAGGACAAGTTTCAGGAAAAACTAAAGATCCAATCAAAGGGCAAGGTCCAGTCAAACGTCCGGGCCTCACTAAGCCTGGCTCCTGCCCCAACATTATGATTCGATGCGCCATGCTTAACCCCCCAGACCTCTGCGGGAGCGACGCCGAGTGCCCGGGGTCCAAGAAGTGCTGTGAGGGCGCTTGCGGGAAGGCCTGTTTGAACCCCCAGTGAGGTGAGCACTGGCTGGAGGGAGAGGGGTCCCCCAAGGACACAGAAGAAGGCTGAGTGATGGGAAACAACCCCATGTTGGTGGGAGGGAGGGCATGGGGAGGTGACAGAGAGACTGAGTGACTGAAGGGTCTCAGAAGCCATAAGCGGGGTGCTGAGAGGGGTGACCCTGCATTCTCGCTGCCTCTGAGTGCTTTGACCTGTGGAGTCTCATCTCTCTCTTCTCTCCCACCAGGTGGACTCTGTCCTTGCTGCACCTGTCCAGTCCCCAGGGCTGCAGGCCCCCATCTGATCCTAGGTGTCTGGAGCCCTACCCATCTACCCATCCTCATACTGCCCAGTTGTCCTTCACTCAGGATGCCCAAGCCTGAGCGCCCTCTGTCATCCACTGTCCAATAAAGACCCCCTTCTGCTCCATTCGTTTCTGGCTTCCATGACTTCAGGGTTCCCGCATCCTCTGAGGAGATGGGTGTAGAGCTGGGACTCCCTCTCTCCAGTGAAGAGGAGAAAGGGACCCACAAGTGAAGGAGATCGAGAACAGCAACCAGAGGCCCATTCCTAGGGCTTAATATCAGAAATCCAATAATCAGGCCAAGCACTCTTGTTCCTGCCCTATTGGATTTCACCAGGAAATGGAAATCTAGAAATCTTACCTTTGGCATAAGATCAGGAAAAACACACACACAAAAAAAAAAACCAACAAGAAAATATTGCATAAACTGTAAGCAAGTCCTTTCTTTCCCAATCCACCATCAGTTCTGATCTGGCTACTGTCAGTCCTGCCACTGTGACCAGCCAACCTTTGTGGCTACACCTATAGCTCCCTCCTTCCTTCTCTTTAACGTTTCCAAGGGATCTGTACCCTTCCATGAAGACACAGAAAGAATGATGTTATGGATGCTGGGACATCCTGGCTCATTAAGAATTTCGCTGGTTGGTGGCTGAGATTCCTCCATTGACACAGCGTTCCTTTAGGTTAAGCAATATCTTTTCCAAGTTCCTGTTTTAAGATGTGAATGATGAGGCAAGATACACCAAGTCCCTGATACTTTGGTGTCAATGACTAGGGGGAACAGTATTCTCTGGAGACATCCAAGTTGGGGACAGGGCAGACTCGAGCAGTGAAGATAGGGCTGGGAATATGTTGTGCAAACTTGAACGAACTCACAGCTCTGCTGTTGACCCACCTGCCCCAGTGCTCTCGGACAAGGAAGCTCTCAGGGAAGGCCAAAGCTTCAGGAGGAGGGATAGTTTGGGTGAAGTGGAGGAACACAGGCTTGACAGTCAGGTGACCTGAGTACTGGCCCCAGCTTTGCCTCCCGAGTTGTTGAGTGGCATGAGACAAACCTCTGTCCCTCTCTGAGCCTCAGATGTCAATTTAAGTTGAAGAGGGTTGATACAATTATTCTGGGAAGAATGGTCTAACCCTGCTATTCTTGGATCTGAAGAAATTCTTCTTTTTGTGCTGGGCTCCTGCTGTGAGTGGAAGTGAGAAGCAGAGGCTTGGGGTGGGAGAACATGGAACACTGCACCCCTTGGCCCCTTCCAGGAGCAAATGAGCCATGGCTTTTCCCCATTGTCCAGGGAGAGCCTGAACTGCAGTAGAGCTTTGATACCAGGGCATCTTGGAGTACAGGCAAGAGCCTAAGTTTCTAGCCTGACAAATATAAAATACTTACAAACATTGAGTATAGTATTTACTCTGTTTCAGGTCTTATACCTAGTAGATTATATGTATTGTCATGTTTATTTTTCATAAATATCCTCTCAGCTGGGCATTATACATATTTTCTCTAATTTCTATACTTTTGTAAAAAGATTGAAGCTAAGAGATTGAGTCATATAGTGATAATAAATTATATTTTTAGCATATTCTAGCAACAATCAGTTAGAAAATGCCACAGAAAACATTTCCTATGTATAATATCAACAAAATCACACCATTCCTATGTGTAAACTTAGCAAGATCCCTCTTTAAAAAACTTTAAAAAAGAAACTCATGAAACTTTTCAGAAATACTTAAGAAAGGCTTATATATTGTGCTCCTGAGTGGGAGGACTCTATAGGGTGAATATACCAATATTTACCGCTTCAATGTACTCTGTAAGTGTACCGCACTCAAAACTCATTTTTACTGTGGGGTGGTGGTGGTGGAGGTGGAAGTTCAGGAGCTTAAAAATCATACTTAAGTTCATGTGGAAGAATAATATCTTGTGAATGGACATGGAAATTTTAAAATGAAGATTAATTTGAGGGTAACAAAGTATTGAAAAGTGACAATAATGAATATGTTGGTTTTGTTAAAAGAATAAAGAGTCAGGCTGAGAAATCAACAGAAAACAAAAGAAAACCCAGATACAGACTTCATTATATATAATTCAGGCTAAGATAAACGTCAATTCCAAACCAATGAATAAAATTTGGACCATTCAGGAAACAAGATTCAGACTGCAGATTCACTAGTCACAAAAACAAAATAACTAAGTCTTGTTTGAATTAGAGTAGAGATTAAGTGGCCAAGGGAGGAAAAATAGAGTGGCTCCAATAAGATGCCTTCTTTCCTCTCAGGAAGCAGCCTAGTGTGGGCAGTCTGTAGCTAGAAAGGTGGCTCAGCAACTCATGACCTCTCAGCATCCCAGGTTCCTTCCACCTTGTTGCTCTTCCATTTCCCAGGATGTTGCTTTTGTATCTCGAAGGATGTTGTCCTCATTTTCATGGCTGTGGATGGCTGACTTCCACATGTATATTCCAGCCTATGGGATCAGGAAAGAGTGGAAAGAGGCTTGGCTTTAAGAAGATGAACTGGAAATTGCACTCTTTACTTGCATCTTATTGGCTGAATTCACGACCATCTCTAGCTGCAAGGGAGGCTTTTACTGAAAGTCCTAGATAGAGCAATAAGGCAAGAAAAAGAAATAAAACACATAAAACTTAGAAAAGGGAGAATTAAAATTTTCATTAGTTTCTGTCTAGTCTCTATTTCTTTGATCTCCTCTCTTAACTTTATTATTTCCTACCTTCTGTTAGCTTTGGGTTCCGTTTGTATTTCTTATTTCCCTTACATGTGAGGTTGTTATTAGTTTCCAATCTTTATTTTTTTTCAATGTAGGTGTTTACAGGTATGAATTTCCCTCTGCATCCCATAAAGTTTTGGTATGTCGCGTTTTCATTTTCCTTAGTCACAAAGCATTCTTTAATTTCAATTGTGATTTCTTCTTTGACCCATTGGTTGTTTAAGAGTTTGATGTTCAGTTCCACATATTTGTGAATTTTTTCAGTTTTCCTTTCATTATTGATTTCTAGTTACATTCTACTGTGGTTGGAGAATATACTTTGCATGCTTTCCGTCTTTGTAAATATATGAAGAATTGTTTCATAGCCTAATGTATGTTTATCCTGGAGAATGTTCCATGTGCACTTGAGAAGAATGCATTTTCTACTGTTTTTGTGCAGTATACTTTCTGTATGTCTATTAGGTCTAATTGATTTGTAGCACTGTTCCAGTCCTCTATTTCTTTTGGGAGGGTGCTAGGGACAGGATCTTGCTCTGTTGTCTGGGCTAGAGTGCAGTGGCATCATCATAGCCCACTGCAACCTCAAACTCTTGGGCTTAGGTGATCCTCCTGCCTCAGCCTCCCAAGTAGCTGGGACCATAGGCATGTGCCACTTCACCTGACTAATTTTTCTTTTTTGTCTGTTTGTTTATAAAGTGGGGTCTCACTATGTTGCTCAGGCTGGTCTTGAACTCCCAACCTCAAGTGATCCTCCCACCTTGGCCTCCCAAGGTGCTGGGATTACAGCTGTGAGCTCCTGACCACTAGTCCTCTATTTCTGTATTAATGTTATGTCTAGTTGTTCCATACACTATTAAAAGGGGGATTTGAAGTCTTCACCATTATTTTAGAACTGCCTATTTCTCCCTCTGGTTGTGTCAATGTTTGCTTTGTATCTTTTTAGCTCTGTTGATAAATGCATTTAATTGTTTTATCTTCTTGATGAACTGACACTTTTATCAATATATAATGTTCTTATTGTCTGGCATAATAATTTTTGAATTAAAGTTTATTTTGTCTGATATCAATGTAGCTACTTCTGCTCTCTTGCTATTGCTATCTGCATGGAATATCTTTTTCCATCCTTTCACCTACTACCTATTCATGTCTATGAATCTAATGTGAGTCTCTCATAGAAAGCATATAGATGAACCATGTTTTTTTTCTGCTAATCTTTGACTTTTAATTGAAAAGCATAATTCATTTATATTTTAAGTAATTACTACCATGGAAGGACTGACCTCTAGGTAGCTGTTCATTCTCCCTTTGTCTTATATCTTTTCTTCTCCATTTTGCATTACTGCTTTTTTGTGATGAAGTGATTTTTTTCTAGTGTGTCATTTTTATTCACATCTTTTTTTTACAGTATATTAAAAAGGTTATTTTCTTAGTTGTTATGGGTATTATAATTAATATCTTAAATTATAACAGCTTACTTTGAATTAATCCCAACTTAATTCATTAGTATATGAACACTCACTCTTTGTGTTGTTACTGTCCATTCATTAAATTTATAATTATTTATAAATTATAAATTTATAATTATTTTTATGCATTTGCCCTTGAAATCATATAGGAAAAAAAGAAGTTACAGCCAAAATATTCAATAATACTAGCTTTTATATTTTCTACGTAGTTATGTTTACCAGTGTTCTTTTCTCTTTGTATGGCTTTGAGTACTGTCTAGTTTTCTCTCATTTAAGCCTGAAGAACTCCCTTTAACATTTCTTATTGGGTAGGTCTGCTGGCTACAAATTCCTTCAGTTTTTATCTGAGAATGTATTAATTTCTCCTTCATTTTTGGAAAGTAATTTTGCTGTATGTAGAATTCTTGGTTGACAGGTTTTTTTCTTTCTTTCAGCACTTTGTATTTTCACATTGCTTTCTAGAATCCATGGTTACTGGTAAGAAATCTGGGTGCACCTGCCACATTGGCTCAGGGAGGCACGTGTTTCCCAGGAAGACCCTGCACAGATGGGATAGTTCCCAGACTGCAGCAGGATGGCCTGGAGCCAAGACTCTGTTCCCTTGGGATCTGCTCTGGGACAAAGGCTGGAGTATCTGTCTCCTTGGCTCAGACAGGCATGCATCCCTCAGCAGATCTTAGCATACACCTGATAGTTCCTCAACTGCAGTGGGAGGGGCTGGAGCTGAGACTGGGCCCAATCCAGATCTGCTGAGGGATAGAGATCGGTGAGTCTGCCAGGGAGGCTCAGACTCTTGGGCTGCAAGTTATAGGGGAGTCTCTCTCTGGGTCATTGTGTGA